CAAAAAGTTGCAAAAGGTGATCCCATGACCTTCAGACACAGCAAGTCATAAATATGAACCAGTTGCCAAGCATCTGAGTTTTGATCATATGATCATAGGGATGCCTTAAAGGTCGTAACTGTGAAAAAGAATTTTTTCAGTGCTGTTGTAACTTTGAACGGTCACTAAATGAACTGTTGTAAGTCAAGGACTACCTGTATTTGAAGATAAAGTGTTAAAAGCCTCCTCCTGCTAAAACATACTGTCTCTATTTTGTTCAAGTGCAGACTGTCATTATCTACTTATATTTCTTTTATTCTCCCACCCCTCCATTTTCCTTCCAGTGAAGTCTGCTCAGAATTTCTCTCACAAAACAGAGCTTTGGTTCTTGTTGATCTAAAGGAGAAATTTCAGAATGCCTCTTTGCTAAATTCTGTGAGTTTCAACACTAAAATACTTCTTTACAGAAGAGGTCGGTCTGAAATTATGTCTCACTCTATTCTCAAAGTATGAGATAAAAAAAATCCTATAATCTCATCACACTTGAACATCTTGTGATGGAACATAGGGTTATAGTTAAAACCATTTAAAATTTAAAAATACCGAGAGAGAATTATCTGTATTCTATCTACATGAAAATTTACAAAGAGGATAATAGGTTGGGTACAATGACTTCTGGACAGTATTATTTATATTTTCAAATATACTTTCATCGCTTACATTTTACTTTAAATGTAATCTTAGATACTCAAGAAGATGAATTCTTAGTCCATCAATGTATTTTGTAGCATTCATTGCTTGGCCAGATTGCAACCTATGCTTTATTTTCTCTGAATAGGATCTATGTAGATCCACCTTTATACACTCAGCAATAAGAAGTAGGAATTGAAATCCTGAAAATGTGCTATGAAGTGCGTCTAAAAAAATATTCATACTTTTTTATTACATCAATAATTATTTGTTCTGTCCTTGACAAATCAAAATATAGGTGTATCCCATGCAAACTGCAGCTTCATTTTTTGAATATACTTGGTGACAATTCTATTAATTGTGAATTCTTGGTTGAATTCAAGAAAAGTACATATAAAAGGAATGGATCAAGGCATTCATATAAACAAAACACATTTTTGAAAGCTATGACTTTATTTAAGGGGAATAAAACCCAAGGGAGTGGTATGATAATATTTTGGTTATATTTTACATTTGGTCTTAGCAGAAGTCTTTTAGGTAGCCCCAAGTGTCATTGCTCTTGGCCTAGTGAAATATATATACTACTTGATTTGGATAATCTTTATGAATAAAAGAAAATAAAGTTTTCATAAGACCTAGCTCCACATGAAACTATGAAGGAGACTTCCCTCCTATATTATATTATACTATATTATATCCCTCTGATATGATTCTGGCAAATGAAGCAGTATTCCTACTTCTAGCCTCCATCGGTTTGTTGGCCTTTCACCTTTGCACATGCTCAGAAGCCATTCCTGTCAAAGTGAAGCGGTGGGCAAAATGAAGGAGCTTGGATTGGTGGCATTGAGAAGGAGCACCTCATTTTTCAATATATGTGAACAAATGTTCATGGAAAGTCCTTAGTCCAAATTTGCCTCATATTAGGCCATGAATGAGGTTATCACCTGTGTTGGCCAACAGATGTTGCTGCTACCTCCACACATTGAAGTTCTGAGTTAACCACCCCGCATTCGGGTAGGAGGGTCGGTTGCCCACACCTCAAGGAAACAAAGCAGGTGCTTTCCTTGTCCATCCAGCCAGGGGGCTGGTTAAATTACATGTGGAAAGAATAGCCTTGCTTCTTTCATGAAATTCAATTACAGAGAAAGAGAGGTGGCACCTTTTGTGATGCGATGGGACAATCTGCGCTTCTTGTGGCCCCCTTCTGCTGGCTACTTTGATCTGAGTGCTATTGTCTGGCTTTAACACCTTCACCTTTAATTCCAAACAGAGGAGGCCTATCCAGCAGTTTTTCTATAGCAAGAATTGTTCAAGTCTTCTTAATAGGAACCCTCAATTATCCAGGAAGCCAGAAACTAAATACACATAGTTTTGGTGAAATATAAGATTATTCTCACCAGTATTAAAACAAGTAGGAGAGGCCACATTAAAGACTCAGGTTTTACTTTCTAAGACTATTACTTAATAAAAAGCACACTGGCAACAGCTCAGCAGCACATTCGGGTTGGAACCAGTTCAACCCAAAATGCAGAAAGGAGATGTAACTGAGTAAAATAATACAGGTCGGACAGGCTCTCCAGCTCACCTTAATAAGATCATTATTGTAAAGCTCCCGTCGCCATATTGACATGACCGAAGCCTGTAGCAGTTCAACACTATAGTATTGCAGATTTGCATCACAATCCTTGGTGGAACAAAACACTCCTCAGTCAGGGAGAACTGCAACCTAAACTGCCAGAATCCAATCCTGCACGATAATTCTCATCTAAGTTTTAGGATCAGAACAGTGTGGATTAGGAGGAGAGCTTTCCAAATGACTAAGAAAAAATTTCACTCATGCTCAACAAAAGACGTCTCTCATTGGAAAGTCAAACCATTTAGTCTCCTCTCCTAAATAGCTTTACCACGCTTTCCCTTTTTCAGATGGTAGATTACAGTAATTATTTGTCAGCTGCATAGATTAATATTCTTAGGCTTCTTGCATTAGCTTTTAAAAATTAAATGTTGGATTAATAACCTGGTCTTTCTTTCAGGAATTCAATGTGGCACATAAATTATATGTATATCTAGAAGCCAATGGCTAGGTTCACATAACATCAAAAACCAGAAACAAACTACTTTGTATCTCAACATAAACCCAAATGGAACATTCTTTTCACCATTTTTTTCTGCAACAACCCTGCGAATAGTTGGGCTGAGATACATTATCTCCTGGCATAAAGTCACTTATTAAGCTTCCATGGCTAAAAATGCATTTGTGTTTGGTCTCTGGAATCTTTTAACTTCAGTCTCCTAAACCCTGTAACACAGGAATGGTTTCTAAACATTGGGGTATTGTCCCACTGACAGTAACTGAAGCAACACTGTCATGTTCTGGCAAATATTAGCTAAACTTTCTGGAGTTCTTGGTTTACAGGATTGACTATCGATGATAAAATGCAGCTTAGGACAAATTATCCATGAAGTTGGTGTGTTATTGTACTTAATTTGAGTTTTAAAAAAGCAGATTATTGAGTACACAATCTAAAGCACAAACTGATCTACTTTGGAGACCTGGCTAGTTTTCTGATGTAAAGCTCTTCTTCCTTTGCAACTTTGGGTTGTAGCCATTTTGATTTTTATGAGACCCACCCAATACACCCCTGCCCTGTTATTACCGTGTGTGTGTGTGTGTGTGTGTGTGTGTGTATTGTGACTCATTGTGCAGTCAGATCAGTACATTTAAATTGGGTGGGGAGGGGGATTACTTTTCACTTGTCCTTGACCGGATTGGCAAAAGCCTCTGAAGATTATCTGTTTAAAGCAGGGGAAGGCAATATATGGTCCCCCAGATACCATGGTTAGACTGTAGTTTCTACCATTTGTCATCACTATCAGGAAGGAAGCTATAACTCAAGAACAGAATTGGCCAACTTTGGAAGAAGTAATATGGGTAAAAATCTATTCCCAAGCAAAAATAATTATATTGCCGATACTGGATTCGAAGCTTCATGGATATAGTTGATCTGAAGATTTTAACTATGTGGCCTCCATTTTCATGTTACTGTTAGATAAAATGCTTTCTCCTCTCTCTCTCTCTCTCTCTCCCTCCCACCCCACCCCCAATTCTTTAAAGATAGTTACTTTATTCCTTGTTTCAGGCACTCAAATTATTTCAACTGCCTCATGTACTGAATAGCAAAAGAGAGCACGGTATAAAATGGAAAGTGCCTGACATTTTTCTCTCAAGATGAAAATGTATCTTCAGCCACTTTTTACATTCAGCATCAAAAGTGACTTACAAAATGAATCACCCATATAGATCTGACATCAACAGCAAAACCATCAGCATTTCCCCATCTTCCTTTTTTTTTTTTTTTGTTATTTATAAAAGACACAGAAACTTCCATGACGCTGTTATCACTGCAAAATGCTTTCCTAAGCGGGTAGAAGAATTCTGCATTCCTAATAAAAAGTATGACTCAGAAATTGTTGGGCCTAAAAGTATATTTGGAAGGTGCCCTTCTTATTTTGTTGTAAACTCCCTTGGTAAGGTTTCACAGCTTGTAGTTAAGCGACGATTGCCTGTAGAAAATTCAGTTAAATGAAGACAAAATGTTTGCAAGAAAATATACCCAAAGACAAAATTTGCAAATTAAGAAATAACCCCAAATAATACTCTTCAATAAAACTTATACACTTTTTTTTTGAAGGATTCAAACCTCAGTCATGGCAGGTTTCAGGCCTGGAAGCATCATACATTCCTTTTTAAAACAATGTTCAGATCCATATTCCATCTCTGCTCAACCTACCAAATAGGACTGTTGTAAATCCAAAAATAAAGGGGGGAAAGGAGAGGAAGTGAACCAGATATTATCTCCCTAATAATTGCAGGATAACACAAAAACTATTACTATCAAGTCTGTGTGTGTATGATACTCAGTTTATGTGTCAGGCAACATGAGGGCAATACTTCCATTGTACTGTACCATGTAGTAGATGATTTTTCATTAAAAACTGTAGAAACTGTGCAATAGCTGTCTGATGCTATTGATGCTATGATCAATCTGATTTACATATTTGCAGTTTTACTCCAAACCAGGGATGTCCAACTGTGTCAACTTTAGGACTTATGGACCTTCAACACCCAGAATTCCACAACCAAGCTGGCTGAGGAATTCTGGGAGTAGAAGTCCACAAGTCTTAAAGTTGCCAAGGTTGGACTCCCCTGCTCTATATCTTTTTGAGAACTTACAGCAAAATGCATGAAGAAAGCCAAACCACTTGAGATTTGGGACTTCAGATTTAATTCTAGTAGAAACACCGAATAATTTATAAAACTCCAACTGTTTCAAAAATATTTTAATTAAATATACTAACATCTGTGCTCTTAAAAAAGGACTCACATAGATACATTTTACAATTTATCCCCCCCCCCCCCGCCCCACTAATACATAAAACTTCATAATATCCAAACAACTTTAGTGGTTTCTTCATATGTTCTCAGAGCATGAGAAATTCAAAATTATATTGCACTGGTATACCTGAATTGCCCAAATTGCACCACTGGAAGAAAAACATAGCATGAAGAATGTTGGAAGTTATACCTGCCATATCCTGAGTACAGAAAAACTCTCATTTTTCTTAAGCTTAAATTTAATGAAAAGTTCCATAAAGAATCATGTTGTATGTAATAGTTGTTATTGATGCCCAAAGGATAAATCAAACCAAAAAAAGCCAGGGATAGGGGAATTGTCCTCCTGAAGCTGCTTCAACAGCCCTAGAAATAGTCAATAGGTCCTCATCCTTGAAGTAAGCTATGAAATCTTTGGGCTTAAAGGAATGCCAAAGTTTCTGTAGATATAGATATATAGTTAGCATATATTAGTAGCGTAAAATAGATTTAATATTTCAGAAAAAGGCTATAGCCTAGTTGCTCTTCCTTAACTTTCTTTGTGTAACAGAATTTTTAAGGAAGGGTAATATTCAAAATGCAATTGATCCGTAATATAGTAAAGAAAGGATTTTCTTTTGAAAATGGGAGCTCTATCAACAAAGAAAATAAACCCCATAATGAGCAGTCAAAAATTGTTTTGAGTCATCTGGAAACTGAGCTGTTTTGAGCTCAACATTTCTTGGAATGTGCAAAACTGGTGATTTTTGCACTCTGTGAGAGTTCATACCAAAAACATCTCACTGCAAAATCTCTTGCACAGTTTTAAAGCAAACTGTTATGTGAACCAACCTACCAGTATGTTGTGTGGACCCAGAAAATCGGGTTAAGAAAAATCTGGCCTTTATATATGTTATTATTTTTTAACCTCATCAACTTTAAGATGTGTGAACTTCAGCTACCAGAATTACTCAAGCATTTCCACGTATCTTTAAATTGCTGAGGTTGAGAAACATTGCATATAGTATATGAAAAGAACTATGTTGCTTAAGGAAGAGAATTAATATTTCAATGCATTTTTAATTAACCAAACATTATGAGATGACCATGGTTATTTAATCAAATTCTTTAGTGTCAAGGAATTTCCCTTTCAATACTGATGAAAAAAAAATCAGAAGTAGAAGAATAATTCTATTTAGCATCCCTGAATGAATGAAATAATTTAATAATAGAATGGATGTTCTATAATTCACTGAATTGGTGAATTTTAGATGGATCATCTTTTCAGATCAAGGACATAGGAATCTCAGGGAGTCACACAGATAGATGTTTACATAACATCTGATGGAATCATAAGATAGCCGATCCAAATATATTTGCTGCTGATATGATTAAAAGGACTAAGACTTAATTTCTATAATTTTGGTCTTACTGACATGAAACAATGTTGAATTTTTATTAAGTTCCCAAATTTTATGGCCAATGAGTGCATTTTGAATAATGTCTATGTGTCAGAGATGTTCTTGCAAAATGGGTTGGGGAGTGCTCATAAAACGTTTGCCGCATACGTGTGGACAGTTACAAAACTCACCTAAGAACCCAAGTATGAGACATAGGCCTAGTCTCTGCAATAAAGAAAAAGCCAATTATTTCAACTCTTTTCCTCTCCAGTACTTATTTCAGCAATGACACTCAGATTAGGCTTCACCAAAAATGGGAAAACAAGGCAAAATTGAGCCTCAAACAAGAAATAGGGGTTGTAACCCATTCGCTTCCCACAATGGTCTTAATCTAGATTGCCTCAAAATTACAAGGGCTGCTCCTGATAAGGAAAGGGATTAGAGGGGCAGGGAGACAAAATATTAAGCACCTTAATGCCATGAATTCAAGTCCCCAAAGGCTGCTAGGTACATCATTAATGTAACATACAGTCAACCAAGGGTTGAAGTGATATTTGCATGAAGTTGCTATGAAGATTTGGACAGATATTGAAACTGGAATGGTATTCTTCTTCTTTCTAAAATAGCTTGCCGCATTGGAACATATAACAACCTTTTATATGAATCCCTAACTTTAGTTTTAAACGTTTATCCTGTATTTGAAACATTTAAACATTTACTAAAACATTTTTGCAAACAATAAGGCACTGCCCTAGCATATCACAGAACAAATACTAAAAAAAGGAAGTTTGCCTCTGTAGAAGGTTTGCATTTTGCACTGTCTGTAGCGCTATCACCAGACCAGCAGATTTGATTATTTATGTTCCACCATATTTACTATAAAGTGCAGTATCACTGATCCATTTCCCTTTCTTAAAAGCATAATTCTCTATTCCATAAATCAACTTAAAAGGAAGTCAAATTAGGATTTTAAAAAATATGTTTAGAGTGAACCCAAGGGTCCTTTAGCAACGTTCAAAAATAAAATCAAGATTTTAGCACTCTTTCTAGAAAGAAATAAGTGTTATCTTCTCTTCAGCTCTAAAACCTGCATGCAGGCATGATGAGGCTGGATGGCCACTTCCAGCTAAAGTGTCATCTATATAGATGCATATGTGGATGCTGGTGAAGTCTTGCAATCAGTTCTTCCTCCGTTGGTTCTTCTAAAACATCCCTGAAAGAACAAGCCAGAATCACTGAAAAATAGCAGAGCCAGTGTCTTAGTACAGACATTGTACATATGTTTATACACCAGAAATAACTTCCCTAGGCATTTCAACATTAAAAGCTTTTCTAGTCCATCATTCATTACATATTTCATATGCAAAATTATATTTTTGCTTTATTTTAAAATAGATTCTCCAGCGACGTTGCTAGCGTATCGTATATGGGTAGTCCTCGACTTACAGCATTCATTTAGTGACCGTTCAAAGCTACAGTCGCAAGATAGGTCATCAAATGGGGCAAAACTCAGATAACAGATAATCGGAAGGGACCTTGTAGGTCATCTAGCCCAACCCCCCGCCCAAGTGGGAGACCCTACACCATTTCTGACAAATGGCAGTCCAATCTCTTCTTGAAAGTCTCAAGTGATGGTGCCCCCACAACTTCCAAGGGCAAGCTGTTCCATTGGTTGATTGTTCTGTCAGAAAGTTTCTCCTTATTTCCAGATTAAATCTCTCCTTGTTCAGTTTCCATCCATTATTCCTTGTCTGGCCTACAGGAGCTTTAGAAAATAGCTTGACCCCTTCCTCCCTGTGGCAGCCCCTCAAATATTGGAAGACCACTATTATGTCTCTCCTGGTCCTTCTCTTTACTAGACTAGCCAAGCCAAGCCCAGTTCCTGTAACCATTCATCATATGTTTTAACCTCCAATCCCCTAATCATCCTGGTTATTCTTCTCTGTACTTTTTCTAGAGTCTCAACATCTTTTTTGTAATGTGATGAACAAAACTGGATGCAGTATTCTAGGTGTGGTCTTTATAGAGTGGTATTAGTACCTCCTTTGATCTTGATTGTATCTCTCTGTTAATGCAACTTAGGATTGCATTAGCTTTTTTGGCTGTTGCTGCACACTGCTGGATCATATTTAGCTGGTTGTCCACTAGGACTCCAAGATCCCTCTCACAGTTACTGCTATTGAGCCTGGTTTCACCCAGTCTCTATGTGTACTTTTGTTTTTTCTTGCCTAAGTGTAGGACTTTACTTTTCTCTACATTGAATTTCATTTTGTTAACAAATGTCTCAGCAACAGAAGTTTTGGGCTCAATTGTGGCCATAAGTTGAGGACTACCTCTAATCACATAAAAATAAAATAAAATAGGGCAACATGCTCTAAATTCTGGCACTCTTTGCATGGAGTCCCTGAGGCTGTTTCCCGTTGGGAGTGTTTCGGTCCTGGCAGTAAAAACAACAACTGTTAATGCACATTTGTTTCACTCTAGTTCTTGGTAAGTTTATTTCTCAATTAAAAATACAAAGCGGCTGTGTTACTGTGCTTGTACCTGAAGAGGAGTTCCACTGTCATTTGATATTCGACTTCTGAGAGAGATGGCCTATGGCAGCGACGATCCCATTTATGAATAAAATTCTGCAATTTAAGAAGAGGAAACTAATACCATTTTATGAGAGAGGAGCCTCTTAATTCATTTGCAATTTTTTTTTAAAAAAAAAAAATCAAGGCCTGCAGCCAATTCATGTGATTAGCATATAATCAGAGATGGCTATTTGTGGAAGTCACAGCAACAAAAATTATAACTGGGTTGAAATTTGGGCGTCTAAAAAGAGAGAAGGTTCCACTGAATAAGATTTAAGGGAAGCACACATTTCTATGGACGGCGTACTTCCTTTCTTTATTAACAATTGAAAGGAAACACCTTACAAATCAACTCGAAATTGCCCAACACAAGGTGCTCAAGGTAAGTGTCATCCATAGTGATATGTATTACTTCTGGGACCTAATATTAAAGTTGTGTGTGTGTGTGTGTGTGTGTGTGTGTGTGAAAGGGGCTTCCATGGAAAGTCACAAATGAACTTTCGACTCTGGTAACCCAATTTAAAAACTATTTTTCCAGATAACTTAGTACTGTATATGCTGTCCATCCTACTGTGACATCAGGAGATTTGCTAGTCCAAGTGAAACCACCCATAAATGCAATTTGTTGCTCCAAGTGAAGCCACCCGTAAATGTTCGTGTGTTCTTTAGGCCTATGGCTTTGGATGGCCAGTCAAGCCTTACCTCTAAAAGCAAGGCTACAAAAAGATTGACCCAGATGACAGAGGAAGTCAGCCACCAGGTGACAAAGTACAATTTTGACCAGCTGTAAAAGAAAGAAAGAAAGAAAGAAAGAAGATAAAATCAAGTTATGCCTATTATTACAATTCCAGTCTTAGAATTCCCTGCACTGTGTGTGACCTGTAGCACACCACACATTTCCTGTCTGGTATTCCTTCCAGTTCCTGTTACAAATTACAAAGTTGCATATCCTTGTATTCTCATAGATGAATTTATTCCTGCCACTTAAATCTTTCTTGTGGCCTTTTAGCATTTTTTTTCCTGCCTCTAGAATTTTCTTGTCGATTTTTTTTTGTCCTAGATATCCTGCAGGATGCAATCTAAATCCACTCTACTGCTGGTCCCAAAGGTACTTTTTCCAAAAGGTAATTGGACTTTCTTGGGTTTTTTTTTCCTTTGAAAACATTTCACTTCTCTGAAAAACAACCGGATGAGCAAGATGTTTTCGGGGGGGGGGGGGGGTCGGGGGGACGAGAAAGTCCAGTTGTTTTTTGGAAAAACCACCTTAGGGACAACCATGACCTGGATGATTGATAATCTCCATTAATACTCTATTGATCATATGTTCTAATCTCATTAAGACTATTACCAGTTCTAGATTTTGCAGTTTATATATCATAACTTGCTTTTTAAAAATAATTAACTGCCTATACCTCTCTTGCTATACTAGCTTATTATTGTTGATTGATGGCTTATCCTGGCAGTGCTCCAAAAGAGGCAACCAATGTGTTCCCACTCTATTTTTCACTTTCTCTGAGAGCATAAAACTAATAGAAGAGAATGTTTATAGCTTAAGAGTTCAACTGTGGGATCCTTGGCACTTTTTGAGCTTGGCTGAGGTTTTTTTTTTTTTTTTTTGCAGACATTTCACTACCCAACTAGGTAACATCGTAAGTACTAGAAAGGAATGGGGTTTGCTGAGCATCAAGCACTATACATTGTAAAAGTAACCACAATGATGAGTCTGCCATGTAATAGGGATTCTGTTTTTGCTGCTTCTGCATAGACGAAGGAAACAACAAAACAGAGTATATGGTAAGAGATAAAGCGCAGATTTTTTTAATTGGAGACTTGTCTGATAATTTGAGAAGTCCATGTCTGAATTAGGTTACCAAATGCATTGCAAAAAGCATAGGTTTAGTTTATTACTCACGGAGATGTATATCTGGAATATGCCTCCAAGAAAACCTGCCAGTTGTTCACAACCATCACATCCCACAAAGTCACTAGTGCTGCCTATATTAGGGATAAGAAAAGTAGTTGTAATGCATGTTAACCTATTATGAGAATTTCAGAATATATAAGAGAAAACGTGGAGCTGCCAAGCCAAAAAACTAGTAATGAATAGAGTGGAGTGGAGTGGAGTGGAGTGGAGTGGAGTGGAGTGGAGTGGAGTGGAGTGGAGTGGAGTGGAAGAGAAGAGAAGAGAAGAGAAGAGAAGAGAAGAGAAGAGAAGAGAAGAGAAGAGAAGAGAAGAGAAGAGAAGAGAAGAGAATTCTTTTATTGGCCAAATGTGATTGGACACACAAGGAATTTGTCTTCAGTGCATAAGCTCTCACTGTACATAAAAGCTATCAGTGCTAAATCATGATCATAAGCATCATAAAAATACATTCATCATATATCATAAGATATAACACTTAGTGATAGAATCAACATTAATTGTGCTAGAAAAGCAAATAAAACAATATAAATTGTAAAGACACAAGCAACAAAGTTATGGTCATAAGTAGAAAAGGAGATAGTAATTAAAGCAACTAATTAATACATATTGAGTAATACTCACAGCAAAATCATCAAAGTTGTTTGGCCAATATTCCAGTTGTTCAAAAATGCCACATTTGAAAGTTGTATTTACAAAGCTATAACAGAATAATGAACAACTCAAAGTTATTTCATCACTGTATGCAATGTGGCCCTGCACAGATCAAATGCTAAATTAGCGGATTCTTTTACCATAAGTATACTTTTAGATTTCTTAAAATGAAGAGGAAAATTAAATCTGGAGATTTTAAAAATGAAGACAAGACAAAAAAAGAAAAAAATAAGATGCTTCAGAGCTAAAAGAATATAGTGAGAAAAATAAACAGACAGCCAGATGTTGTAGAGCAGAAGCATTAACTTTAAATTCAAGAAATATTGGTATTCCTCAACTTACAACTCCAACTGGGACTGGAATTTCTGTTGTAAGTCATGGCAGTTTTAGGTTGAGTCAGCCTTCTATGAGGGTTGTTCATGGAGTTGTTAAGTGGATGCAGCTCCCCCAATGCACATTTTTGGCCGAAAATTGGCAGAAAAAGATCACAATTCACGTGACTGCAGGATGCTGCAACTGGTCGTAAATGCAAGCCAGTTGTTAAGTGCCTGAACCGCGATCACATGACTGTGAGGGTAGTGTGAAGGTTGGAAGCACAAATACAGATCGTAATTCATTTTTTCCCAGGCCGTCTGAATCATCGTTAAATGAACATTCATAAGACGAGGACTACCTGTAGTGTTAGCGGGGCCTTAAAACGAGAAATAATTTCAGTCCAGAATCCTTTCCTTTGCAAGGACTCTACTCTAAAGAAGCTATCTTTAAAGAAGAAGAAGAAGAAAATACTATCTGTACCCAATTTCAATGATTTTTCTTCATTATGATGATATTATAACCGGGTTTTACAAAGCTTGACTTTCAAGCACAGTTGAAATCTTAGAAAAACCATTGTTAAAGACTTCCACAAAAGAGCAAACTGAGAGCAATAAGTTCTTATTTGCACGCTTTTAAAGAAAAAGTGCCTGAAGAACCCACATATTTGAATTAATAATAATAATAATAACCAGTTGCCCAGAAATATATCCGTTAGTAATGTCTATGGAGATTCTCAGTCATTCAGGTCATGATTTTCCCAACGGTGCTTTTTTCAAGAGTCAACTGGACTTTCTGATTTTTCTTTGAAGACATTTTGCTTTTCATCCAAGAAGCTTCTTCAGCTCTGACTGGATGGTGGGAAATAATCACTGTTGGCATCTCTAAACTCTAAATGTCTGAGCTGTCTAAATGTCATTTCCCACCATCCAGTCAGAGCTGAAGAAGCTTCTTGGATGAGAAGCGAAACACCTTCACAGAAAAAAACAGAAAGTCCACTTGCCTTTTGAAAAAAAGCATCTTTGGGATGATCAGTTAGTAATGATGAGTATGAGTCAGTTGCCAAGCGTCTTAATTTTGATTGGGTGATTCTAGGGAAGCTGCAACACTCATAAGTGTGAAAAATGGTCATAAGTCCCTTTTGTCAGTGTCGTCATAACTTCGAAAGGTCACTACACGAACTGTTGTAAGTCGAGGACTAGCTGCGTTATAGGAATTTGACAGCTTCGAAGTTCAATCAACGCTTTACAGATAATTATTCCCAGAAACAGTGTAAATATATTGAATCACAACTGGTACGGTTTTACTTTAAAAGATCCCTCTCTCTCTCTGTAGCTTTATACAGACAATCCTCAGTATACAACCATTCATTTAACAGCCATTCAAAGTTACAACAGCATTGAAAAAAGGGACCTGTCTTCATACTCACAACCATTGTAGCATCCCCATGGTGACATGATCAATATCTAGGTGCTTGGCAACTGGCATTTATTTATGACAGTTCCTGTGTCCCAGAGTCATGTGATCTCCATTTGCAATCTTCCCAGCTGGTTTCAACCAGAGTTGGTATTCAGCAGGTTCTGACTAGTTCTGGAGAACCGGTAGTGGAAATTTTGAGTAGTTTGGAGAACAGGCAAATACCACCTTTGACTGCCCCAGCCCTCATCTATTCTCTGCCTGCCAGCTGATCGGCTGGGTGTTCTTTTGTTGCCCTGCAAGGAGAATGGAGCTGGAAAGCAGGTTAGTGAGGTGGGGAGGGAATTGGGATTTTGCAGTATCCTTCCCTTGCCACACCCACCAAGCTACACCATGCCACCAAGCCATGCCCACAGAATCGGTAGTAAAAAAAAAAAAAATTGAATCCCACCACTGGTTTCAACAAACCAAGTTAAGGGGGTAAAGCTAAATTCACTTAATGACTATGATTCACTAAACAACCAAGGTGGGAACTGTGACAAAAATGTGGTAAAATGGAGTGAGACTCACTGAACAACCACTCCGCTTACCAATGGAAGTTTCAGACCCAATTGTAGCTGTAAGTCGAGGACTATCTGTATAAATTAGCCTACTTTGCCCAAGAAATGTCTCCCATAAATCTTTATCACCACAGATTATTAACATTTAACAGTGTTACAGATCTATTTCCATGATGTACTAGAGGCTACACAGACCAACTGTATCTTCTCGCAACCAGGAATGGCATGCTGACTTCCCTTCTTACCTGACATTACCCATGGGAGTAATGGTGCCTCCAAACAGCTCCATGCCAATTATTGCAAATGCATAGAAAGCCACCTGTGAAATAAAAGTTGACACGATACTGAAGCCAACTGAGAGCGATGCAACAACACGGTGCAAGCTTCATTTAGTTGACACCATAAATCAGAAGTGTGGATTATTGTTGAATTCTTAACTTCTCCTTCCCATTGCTTAAGTTTACACTGTCTGCATCATATTTCCAGGAGAGTGACTCATGATTTGATGTTCATTCATTTACATGAATACAAATGCATTGGGTTTTTTTTGGTTCAGAGCTACCAGCAGTCTGCACAAGAGGTTTGCTGTAAGTCGCTGCATTGCTCCGGAGAAACAGCAACTGGCAAATCCAGGGATATGCTTAATTTATGTCTGGCTGTATTACCTGGACTTCTCATAACTGAACTTGTATTTTCCAGGAACAAAAAGAGAATTGTTAACTTTGAATTATAAAAATAGAGAAGGAATGAAGGCAGCAAATATACAAAAGAGTCTCCTTTGGCAATCTTAAAAGTAGATACACTCAAGAAAATTTAAACCATCTTCTTGTTCATAGGCTTTTTAACTGTGTAATGCTCTTCCTAAGGTTATAACAGCTTCTCCAATCACATTGTTTGGAGGGGGTGCAGCCAAATATCCCAATAACCTAACTTTATCCACTGCTATTCCTAAAAATACAGCATGTTCACAGAGGTAGGCTGCAGTGCTTCTGCACATAATAGATGTTCCTTCAAACAATTAATTACTTCACTGTGATTCTCATTACCCTGATTTTCAGATGGACACTAAGTACTTTCTGGCAGAAAAACATCATAACATCTATATGTGATTTTTTTTTAAATGTCAACTTCTTTTTATAAAAATGATCACATAAATGCTTTCAAATGTTATCTATGGGGTCAGTTTTTTAAAGGAACAAACAGTATATCACAGCAAATCTAATGGAGTCACTTAGAATAGCATCAATATGTGGCATACACAAATTGCATGTGTATGCCTCCTTTTCTCATACACACATGTTATTTCTGGCCTTGCTTTAAGGAAGATAAATATTTCAGTGAGCCTGGGAAAATTGTTAGTATTTATGTCTCTGTTATGGAAAAATCCCATGGATTATCTGCCAAAATATTTAAAAGATTTTAATTGCACTGGATTATTTTCAACCTGCAATGCATAAACCGGCCAACAGGTGGAGCTCTCCTCCTTGTGATAATCATAGAAAGTCAAATTAATTATTATGTCAATTTGTTAAAATGAAGTAGATAGTATGTTTTAACAAGTGCACACAAATGATTACATGTCTCAAAGCAACAAAAAGGTTTTCTGCAACTGGAGAAAGAAAGCTAGAAATAAAGCTAGAAAGCTAAAAAGAAAGCCAGCAAGAAGGGAGGGAGAATGTAAATAATTCTCAAAATTAAGACCCATCCTAAATCTGAATGATAATTAGTTCTACTCTAGAACCTCTTTCTAAAGACGGAATATCATGCAAAAACTAACCATGGGTACACTATTAGGAAAGTATCACAATATTATACATCTAAAATTCAAGAAATAACAATCACTGTGGTTTTAGTGCAAAGGAGATCAAATGTTCTAGCATAAATTTTCTCCTCTCTCATTATGTAACAATTGTTGAGGGACTTATGATTTCTTAAGGCCTAACCTTTCAGCAATCTAGCAGTAGGATGAATGGAATACATCATGCAACTATTCTTGTGAATGGGCAACAATATATACTTAATACATAAATAAGTAAAATGCTTTCTTTTGCCAGTTCACAGAGACCAACAATGTTCAGCTCATTGACTCCTTCATGAAGTTTCAAACTGTCCAAACATTTCTTATATGAAAATAATTTAATAAATACCACTTTAGCAAATAACACAAATAACAATAATAACAATAACAATAATGGACTGTTGTTGATAATAACAGATTGGGAGTCAATACTGATCACTTTGAAATATAATTGGTCCTGATTATAATTCAAAGGATCCATTAATAATGCAAGTATCACCAGAGGTGAGGAGACAAAGAACAAGTAGGAGAAACAAATTCAGATATTAATATTTAAAGATATGATTCTCAGAAAGGCCACAAGTGAACAGAAAAAGTTACGGATAAGAGCTATTTAACCGAGATCATAACTGCTGATAGCATTAGAATGATTCTCTTTCTCCTTCTGTTGCAACCTGATGGAATTGTCCAATAATGTTCACTACATTTACTATATAACATCCAAAAGAAAATTCTGGGGCACTCCAAAGCAAGAGGTATTTTAATGACAATATGTAACTGATCTTTGCTAATCCCAGAATACTAAAAGTACTTGGATGAGAGACTACAGGAAATCCCATAGCCATACAAATGACAAGAAAGTCTGTCTGTTGGTACAGTGATTAAAGACACCAAACTGGAAATCAGGAGACTGAATTATAGCTCTGCCTTAGTCACAAAGCCAGCTGGGTGACTTTGGATCAGTCACACTCTTCTCGACAATAGAAGGCAATGACAAACCACTTCCAGAAATGTTGCAAACTACAGAGACCTGTCCAGTACATAGTTGCTAGGACTCAAGACTGTTCCAAAGGTGTGCATGCAAACATACACACAAACACAAATACCATATGCTGTATGAATAATTTGGCGCATGGAGAATTTCAACAACATAGCACACACTCCATGAAAATTCTTACATGGCTCCTATCTTCTTCATAGATTGGTGTCTTGGGGAGAACAAATAAATAAGACTGGGGAAAGATTCCTCATTCCCCAGACTATTCCATTCAAAATATTTTTGGAAAAAAAAACCTTAAAAGCAAACAGCATCCTAGAATTGGATGTTTTCAGATGTTTATAAGCTATCAGAATCTCAGTTGCCCTTGAATTTTTCTGGTTCCCAAACATTGTATAAATAAGCATTTCCCATCTTTAATTTCTTTTTTTTTTAAATCACAGAATATTTTTCTCCATTCCTGGAATACTCCTGAAATGTGTAGAAGTTGCAAGTGTAGTTTTGCTTCCCCACTGACACCAAGTTTGCTGTCTGTACAAACTCTGCACGACTCATCTGTCCTCCCTGTGCAAAACACTGTTCCCTAAAGACAACAGCATTAAAGACTCCAAGCAGCATGAAACAAACAAAATGTTTAAAAATTATGATATTGATGTAGTTACTTACCAAGCACATCTAAATTATATTAAAGCAACCAAAATATCTTTACAATCCCCAAGGCATGTCACAACTTTTGAGCACCCGTAATGTTTGGAAACTGAAAGTTGAAAAATTTGACACTCCCTAAACCGGCTCATATGTGTATCCCTCTATCCCTCCCGCTATAATGTCTTCTGATGATGTCCTACATAGCAATTCACGTTTGGAGCTCATTGCCTGAATACTTTAATAGGAATACAAGACATAAAGGACCTGTGGAAAATATGAAAGTCATCATTTATCTGTGAAAACATTCCTGCATCTAGACATATCCTCTTTCTCTGGGAAGTATTTTTTAGGCTTGAAGTATGCCTCTAATTCACTCCCCCACCCCCCCTCAAAAAAATACTAGGTATATACTGGTACAGATTACGCTCTCTTTAGCTGACAAATTAGTTTCCTATGAGTCAGCTGCACTTAGTATTTCATAGATCCTGGAAGTTCACAGCTCATTCTTAGTCCGTGTCTTTTTTTTAAATTTTATTTTCTTACAATAGATATATGCCTATAAACTTAGGGAGGTCCCATAGAGATATAGCTATTATTATCTTTGTACTGTGTGCTTGATCAAGTTCAGAATTAGACAGAAAAAGAGATAGAAAGATAGAGTGGATGGGCAGCCCCCATTTTAAAAAAAACACCTATTTGATTTATTTATTGAAACAACAGGGTCGCCAACATTCGTTTCCATAAATTGCCAATGTTTCTTTGATAAAAATTATTTCATAGATGACGGAACAAAGAGGCACAAATCATTCTTAAGTTGTTGTTGCTTTTACTTACAATCAAAATTCCTGCAAAGGTTCTTATGTTTTTCACTAAATCCAACAGTGTACTGGCAACTAAAGACATGAACTTTGGAGGGAGAAAAGAAAAGAATCATTAGTGTGTTTATTTTTTTGACATTCTTTAGTCTTAAGAGAGAAAAGCAAAATTAAAATCTATACCAAAAAAAAAAAATGAAATTACTGTAATGTTTGGGATGATCCGTAAAAATCTGAACACAATCAGCATATTTGCTAGACGAACCATGTCCCATAGAGACAGCAAGCCCAACATTTCAGGTCTCCTAGAAGAACAGAAAAAAAAGATTTGCAGGGGGGAAAACAGAGAGGAGCAACCAGCAACATTAAATGTGGTTGCTCTTTCAACCAACCAAAACATAACTTTAGCAATGCCAGATATTGAAAAAAAAAAAGAGAGATAAAAACCAAGACGATACATAATAGCCTGAATCTTAATTCTCCATTCTTGAATGATTTTGTTGTCATTATTTCAAGATTAAATATAACAGGATGGAGTTTACACATATTTACAACAGTTTCAAAGGTGTTGTGATCTGATAGGGTTATACCACTTTTATTTTTCACTCCTTTTTATAAGGTTTCCTTACCAAGACATACAATATCAATGCTATGTGGCAAAATCCCAATATTGTAGTCTTTTCTCTGTAGAAACATAGACCTTATATTCACACTATTTTAAAAGAGTACCTTGATAATTCCAAATTACTGAATCAGTCAGAAAAAAATTGTTTTGCATGATGTAAGAAATAGCTTCTGCTTTTGAGTTTTTCTACTCCATTATTCCAACAGAACATAATCAACTGTTACTACTATTAAAAAAGTGCTGTAGATACCAATTTCAAAGTAACCAAACATTGCTTACTAGGTACACATACCAGCCTGGATGAGGAAACCCATATACAGCAAATGTGGACACCTCCAAAACCTTTGAGAAGAAAAGAAGTAAAAAGTAAAAATTATAACCAATTGGGGTATAACATGTCCATCTGTCAGCCAAAACAGGCCAAAGCTAGCAAAATGATTTCCTATCTGTGCAGCATCTATAATGACCTCCAATGTTGTTCAAGAGATGGGAACAGTTGGTGGGGGAGAGGCAGCAAAAGAGTGCAAGGAAGAAGAGATTAAGAAGTCCACTTGTTCATCATTGGGTCAGATCCATTTATTATAAATTAATATTATTCAAGTATAACATGGGAAAAGAAAATGAACAATAACAATGCTCAACCAGAAGTTTTTAATTTAAAAGGAAGACAATTTTGAATTTAAAATTAGCACCACCCCCCCTTCCATAGTATTCGACAGGGTAAAAAGAAGTGGTAAACACAAATAAAATCTTATATTTTGCCCATTTCAACTGCCAACTTCTACTGAAATCATTCCCGGAAATATATGTCTGCATGTCTGCATGTGTGCATGCAGGCATCATAGCCTGAAATGAAATTAAAAACAAGGGCAATGCTAGCCAAAATATTACATTGTCATTCAATCAATGAGTACTAAATAAGTTAATTTCCTATCAAACATCTCATCTGAATAAGGTCAAATATCTCATTTGAAGAGTGAGTTGATTCACATCTACCTATCTTCACAGAAATATATGTGCATACTATATATGAGCATATATACCTACATACACACACCCCACCCTCTTATTTAAAAATCTGGGTGGTGGAGTGGTTAGAATGTAGTACTGCAGGCCAGTGGCCCCCAACCTTTTTTGTCCCACGGCCCGGTACCGGCATCACAAAATGATCCACGGACCGGTACCGGCATCAGCGCGCACGACCAAGGCAAGGTGAGCCGAGCGACCGGCCAGCCAGCCGTCCCCCGCTTCTCCCCGCCACCTTCAACTCCTCCTTTGTACCTTTGTTGATGGGCTTTTCGGGCTCTTTCTTAATCTCCTCCTAACGCGAGACTCCACCGCCATCGGGACGGCTCTTAGTTCGAAGCCGCCCCCCCCCTTGACGAAACTAAGGCGCGAGGATTCCTCCAGCACCTAAACACCGCTTTCCAACCGACGACCGACAAGCTCACCCGGAAGCACTTTCTCAAGCGCCGTCGAAACAAGATGGCAGCGCCCACTTCTCTGCGGCCCGGTAAAAAATGATCCACGGACCGGGACCGGTCCGGGGCCCGGTGGTTGGGGACCACTGCTGCAGGCTACTTCTGCTGACTATTCAATTCTCACCAGCTCAAAGCTGACTCAGCCTTCAATCCTTCCGAGGTCGGTAAAATGAGGAACCAGATTGTTTTTTGGGAGGGGGGGCTCTAAAGCACTGTGAAGCAGTATATAAGCCTAAGTGCTATTGCAATTTGAACACGTACAAAGAACAACATACACACCCACTTAGAAAAATGGAAACCATGGCCTCAGAAGCGATAAGAGGTTTTCATAAAGTTCAAAGGAATATCTTAATGAGATTTGTTCCAAAAAAAAAAAGCACTTCTTGAAAACCCTTCTGGAAAAACTATTATGTAAAAGCAGAATGGAAATAATTCCATGACACTTACCATCAGAACCAAAGTCAGAAGTCCATCAAATATGTTGCTTGGATAGGATAAATATCTTTTTAATCCCAAGGCCACTAATTTCAGCACTATTTCCAGAAGGTAGTACAAAATAAAGAAACAGTTTGTAACCTTGAAAAAAAGAGAGTTAAAGTGCAATTAAAACCAGAGCTTTTAGCGAATAACAAGAACAGGGTCTCATGGGAATAGATGGTCTTACCCCTAAGAAAAAGTCATCTCGGAGAGCAGGTGGCTTATCTGCATCTATTACCATGACTCCCTGGGAAGGAAAATGATCACAGGTTATCAGAGGCAAAACAACTGTAGTACATTATAATACTGCATCTAGAACATATAAAGTAGTCATGAAAAATTACACACTCCATGAAAACTGTTAGTCAACCAACTGACTACTATTTGTTAGGTACAAAGTTATTACTGCATGCCAATCAACTTTTAGAAGATTTTATAGGCTAATCTCACCAGACGTATATGAACTGATCACTGAGCTGCTTTTTAGTTGACTCCTCAAATAATATAAGGATGCAATGGCTTATAGAAACATATCCCCCAGGCCTATAGTATTCAGGAACACGTTGCTAGGCTGCTCCCACAAGGTCCTGCTTATATACAACTGCAAACATAAATATCAGCAAAGTCATTGGATAAAATATCTGACCAAGACTAGAGAGATCTAGGTTCAAATCCTGATTTATCCTGAAACACCTTAAGATACAGCTGGGCGGTTGCACAGCCTCAACCTAATCTATTTCACAGTTGTAAAAATAAAATAAAGACATCAGGCCAGTCCTTAGGTGCTGGAACTTTAATCCAGGACTCCTGTCAGTGGACCAGATGAAGCTAACTTACATAAAATGATTAGAGATTTCCTAATACTTTGAATACTTTTCTTAAGTATCTTTCTTACATACAATATGGAAAGGACTTTCCCTACCAAGAGAAGACGCTACTTCGAATGGTACCATATACTTACGCATACGCAAAAAACATTTGCTACTGCTACAACGTTTCCTAAATAGCCAAAATAGTGATGGCCAAAGATAAACTGAACTCGTTGTAAGAAGGGTGACTGATAATCTGGTTTGGGAGGACGCTGAAAAGAAAGCAGAATAAAAAAAGTCTGTCAGGAATTATTTTTACAGGGTGCTTTGAAGAAAATGTGGCCTTGGGATATTGTCTGAAAAGGGCATACCATTTCATCAGCTTGATGCATATGCCTGAGCAATGTCTGCTATTAAAAGCACTGCAGATAGTCCTTGATTTACAACCATCATTGAGCCCAAAATTTATGTTGCTAAGTGAGACATTTGTTAACCGAGTTTTACCCCATTCTATCACCTTTCTTGACATAGTGGTCACTGTAGTTGTTAAGTTAGTAACACGGTTTTAAGTGAATCTGCTTTCCCCCATGGACTTTGCTTGTCAGAAGGTCACAAAATGTGATTATGTCATCCCAGGGCAATACAATGGTCACAAATATGAGTCAGCTGCCAAGCTTTTAAATTTTGATCACATGATCAAGGGGATGCTGCAATGGTTGTGTGGAAAAAGGTCATAAGTCACTTTTTTCAGTGCTGTTGTAACTCTAAAACAGTCACTAAATGAACTGATATAAATTGAAAATTACCTGTATATATGATTCTCCTTAAATTTATCCTCTTTTTAAAGGCTGGGGGGGGGGGGCAGGATATCATGACAGAATGGCAGAAAAAGAAATTATACCCACATCTTTTTAAATGCATAGCTTGGTCAATGGTTCATTAATAAAAAGGCTTCTAATCCAAAAATGGATATGGCTCAATTATCAGCACTGAATACAGTACTTATCAATATCTGAACAATTCAGAGCAGGGGTCTCCAACCTTGGCAACTTTAAGACTTGTGGACTTCAACTCCCAGAATTCCTCAGCCAGCCTTGCT